AGGGAGTGTTTAGAATTTGATCTGGGATCCTACCTCTGCAAGGTTCTGGGAAAATGCCAGCCACCATCCCCAGTTTGCACTTGAAAGACACACACTGAGCTGCTGGTGGCCCTGGGGAAGACTTGCTTCCTGAACGTGGCATCCAGCTTCACAAATCTGAAGAACTCCGTGAGTTGTCTTATCTCTTATGCTTGGCATTTCAGCGAACAAAGTTGGACAGATTTGACTACAGAGGGACTGGCACAGAAGCTAATCGTACTCTTTCCATGCGGGTGATTCTGCCCTTTATCAATATTGTGGCTGCAGAGAGTTCTTGGTTGTAAGAAGGGACAGATCTCAAAACAGTCTTGTTTCAAAACGCAGACCTTCTATCATTTCAACAAGAAGTGAATCATGTCTACCCGACCACTTTTGTTGGTGTAACTTACGTCATGCAGGGGTGTGAAAAAACACCCACCTGAGCGATGTAAATCACACTGACATAAGCACCGGTGCGGACAGTGCTACGTTGGCAGGAGAGCTCTCTCCCGTCAGCATAGGGTGGCTACACAAGCGATCTTACAGCGGCGCAGCTGTACGGTGTTAGTGGCAAGAGGAGATTAAGGCTCATGTATGCTGTGTAGGCTGCAGCCACTACAAGGTACATGCCCATCAATACTTGAACATGTCTAACGTTCCATCTATTAACACTGCATCACTTGCTCCCATAAATGAAAGGATACAAAACCTGCCTATTCAGCGTCTGCATGGCAAACACACAATGCCACAAACCCACGTTTCACTGAAGGGAAAGTCGGTGCCGCCTTTCGGGAATGAATATTCTCTCCACACTGCTCTCCTTTGATCATCCCTCCTCCTCCTCTTCTGCTCTTTACAGTGCCAAGCTCTAAGCTGAAGACACATGGCTTGATTCTCCCCACACATAAGCTGGCATAAATCAGGAGTAACTCCACTGGTGTGAGAGGAGAATCAGACCCATGTTCCTGCATGCCCCAAAGCCCCCTGGATGCTGACCATTCAGTCAGAATGTTATCTGTGGTAGTTATTTCCTTGGATAACCTCTCAGGACTCCAGAAAAAGTATTTTGGGACCCATAAGTCCTAATGCTTCCATTCTGGCTTATCTCAAACTGTTACTACTGAGTATTTACAAAACAATTATATATTGATTACATAGTAGTAAACAAGGAAAATTTCATGCTAGTTGCTAATAAGGACTACATAGTAATTACACTTGGAATTATTGCTAACCCTAAGGCAGTCTTGTCACTAGATATACACACGAAAGCCCCATTAATGTTGACGCAAGTTCTGGGCTTGCTTCAAGAATAGGATATATAACCAAGTGTAGCTAGTATGTAATTAATGTTCATTTGCCCATGAGGGTACATCCATTAGCAGGAACCAAAATATTATCTAACACGGCAACTACAAAAGAGAGATTCCTTTCTTCTGTACATTTTAAAATAATCTGAGACTGGCAAATCACTGGGCAGATTCTGCCACTGTCCCTCACAGTTGTCACAACATCTGCAGTAGCCACAAAGCCAAAAAAAAAAAAAAAAAAAGACCCCTTTCCTAACTCATTTTGGGCAAAAGCCAGAAACGAACCTAGCAGCCAATTATTGCTCTCAGGCTAATATGTTCTGGACTTTTGCATCTGTGTCCCAGCAGCCATTCTGTGAGTTGCCTGGCAGAATGGCTTCGTTGAAAGAGAAGTGATGGGATTCACGTTGGCAAGACAGGCTGGAAAATCAAGTGAGAGCCACACATCTGTGCTGAGCTGCCATGGCATTTTTAAATAGTACAATTAAAAGACCAGCAAAACCCAAGGCATGATTTAAATTTTCAGTGCAACAGTGCATGTTGCCTCCTGATGAAATAACAGAATCTTATTAACTCATCTGAGCTAGTTCTCCGAGTCCTGGGCCAAGTCGTAACCATTCTGTGCCTCCTTCAAAGGTTTCACGGTTTGATTGGCAAACTCTATTTACAGGATGTGCTAAAAAAGAATGCAACCAGCTGAGATGGTTTAATGCTCATTTTCAGAAGGCCTCACTGGCATTAGAGGCTGGGGACCCTTTGCAGAGTATGAGAGAAACTGCCTGCCATTGAACCGAAGGCTCATGAGTGGTGAATTGGATTCCGACATGGACGGTCACTAGGCTGAGGTGGCAAAATTCCCATTCGGCTAGGCTGGGTTTTGACAAACGTGGAAAATGAGAACTTAGCTCTCAGATTTGCTTAGTGCTTCTAGAGCCATTTTCATCCAGAGAGCTCAGTGCCATATACAAAGGGTGGTAAATATCACTGTTGTCCCTATTTTAGAGGAGGGGAAATGAAATGACACCGAGCCAGTGACAGAGCCCAGCTCTTGGGCATCCCAGTCTAGTGTCTGATGCAATGTGCCTCTTTGGAATCAGTTTGAAAAGACATCAGGGCAGCTGAGGGCCAGAGTCTTCAGCCCTTACTCCCCTTGAGTAACATCCTTCCTCTGGAAGTAATCTCACTGAAACCAGTGGGGCTACCCGCAGAATTAAGGGGCTGCATAGCATGTGCCCAGCCTAAAGGGCATGATGATTCCTATGTCCGTGATCCAGCCCCCACTCAACTCAAATGGCAGTTGGATCAGACCCTGATGAGCAACGCAGAGAGAGACATTGTAGGCCAAATCTCGAAGCCCTGGCTCCACTTTTACAGTGGCAAGTGTTCCATCTGACTTGGCAAGAACTGAGTCCAAGTGAAGGGTTTAGACCTGCAAACACTCACTCATGAAGCAGCACCAGGCAGAGTAGTAAGTGTTTGTAGGATTAGGTCCAGAGTATGGATGCGTGAACACAGCATTAGGCAGCTCTCAAGGCTCAATTATGCAATTTCTGTTCCCCGTGTGCACCGAGGACTGATTTATTTGAAATTAAACCCACAAAATGTGTTAATTCCTGCTCAGGTCTTGAGCAGGCTTTAATGTAGCAACCTTCTCTCATTTCCACTGATTCTGCCGAGCAATCTGACGCACTTAAAACTTTCCTTTCTCATGAATAGCTAATACTAGCCTCCAGATACCTTGCTATTAAAAATAAAACCACCGAGCTGCACAGAACAGGAACTGTGATACATTTTCCTCTCCTGCTGGACAGTCTTTGGGTCCTCATTCCTGCAATCCAGTAATTGTGAGCCTGTAATAATTTCGGGGCTAATGCTTCCAGGAATCCCTCCACAGTTCCCTGATCTCATGCTAGTGACTCACCAACTCTGCAAGTGCTGGCTTTTTCTACTCACAAGCTCCTCCTGATGGTAACGTAGCTACAGAAGAACAGCATTGCCAAACTCAAGTGTTCCAAAATCATGAGATAGGCTTAAAAATTATGAGATTTTTGGAAATAATAAATGTTTGGTTCTTTTTATTTGCCTACTAGCTTTTGAGTCTTTAGTGTTCATGTTTCCTAGCTTTTCTTTGCAACCAGGAGGGTTAGAAGCTTATTTTTTTTAAAAGAAACAGATTCTGATGTATTCACTTGACTCCAGGAACTGGGGCTTTAACAAAAACACCGAATTGCAAGATACACAGTAAAATCACAAGTATTGCCAACACTGGAGGAGTGAAATAATGTGTGTGTGTGTATGTGTGTGTGGCAGTTTGAAGGCCATTTCCTGGTGTATTTAGCGTGTCACAATGCGAGAATAAATACCATATGTGGTTTCCCAGAGACAGCAGATCCTTGCTGATACACCCTGACCAAGAGAACCATTAGTGAGAGAGTAAAAGACAGAACCTAGGCTAGACTGTGACTTGGACTGCATACCATGCAGGGCAGTTGGAATCCCATTTATACCCTGTACAGGTGAGCTAGAGTTGGGGAGCAGGAGTAAACAGGTGTGGCTGACTTCCTTAGTGCCCTCTGCCCAAGAGCTGGGGGGTGAGGGGGAGTAGGCTCTGTGTCCCACTAGTCAGCTGTCGTGCCAGCAGCAAATCACTAGCCCCACCACCAGAGTGAGGAGGAAGTATGAAGGAATCGTGCCCCAAAGAGGTATCTCTGAATCACACTGCTTCCCAGGACCAGTCCTGGCACGGTGTGGCTTTCAAGCCACCCGTGGTTCAGGGCTGAGCTGAAAGGTCAAGCACCTCAACTCATGTCAAGGGCAAAAGGTGCTGACAGTAGCTGGCCCCTTGCAGGGTCAAGCCCCTGGGGAACACATTTTTTGTGTGTAGATAATCAAGAATAATGCATTACCAGAAATCTTGTCAATTTTTGGGGGGAGAGGGGGGCAGCTGTGGGTATGAATTGCTTGTGATATATCAGAGCATGCTGGTGAGTGATCAGCAGAATATTTCGTTAAATTATTGAAGCTGGTGGATTGCAATATGAAAACTCACTACAGGGCTGTCTCTTTGAGAAATGGGGTGAGAGTGAGTCCATTTTGTGTGTGTGCTCGAGTTTGTGCATGCACAGGTGTTGGGTTGTGCATCATCCAGTCTATGGATTAGTAAAGTAGAAATTAGCAAGGTATGAGCTCTTTGTGCACAGCATGGCACTTTGTAATAAGGCTTTGCACACTTATGAATATATAGAGATTTGGAAACAAGCAACTCCTTATTAAAGATGACAGAAATGTATGGTAGGGCCAGATCCTCACCTCATATAAATGGGGACTGCTCCAACGGAGCTATGCTAGCTCACACCATTTGAGGATCTGGTCCATTAATGCTCTTTGTCATCATTAGAAAGATGGACTCTTTCCTAGTTCAAGAAAGAGCCCCAGAAAGTCCCTCCCTCCCTCTCCAATTTTGCAGCTGAATTCCAGCTGTCTCTACATATAGCATACACAGTAAATTGTAGTGTAATTATAGCGTAGCACAACTCAACATGTGAAGCTGTCACACTGAATAACAAGCAATTAGGTGTGTCTTTGTGGTGGAGAGGAACAACCGAAACGGGGTTTGATTGGGATGGAGAACTTTTCAGACTCCACCGTGAAAGGGATTATTTTCTCGGCACGTACCGTCAGCTCCAAGGCTGCGTTCAGCAGGCCGTTGCGTTTGCTGTGAAGATAAGCACTGGAACTGCCTGTTTTGGCCACTCGTATCCGTGCCAGCCGGGCTTTCTGTAAAGAGAAGCAAGATGTATTGACATATTTTTACTTTTACACATCAAGCCAACTGTTCCACCTCTACTAAAATAGGGGGAAAGAAAATACAAAGTTTTCATGGAAGCTGAAAAATCAGAGAGACGAAAATACAAGGAATTTATGGCGAGGAGAAGATCAGCAGCCAGCACAGCCTTTTGCACTTCCTACCTGCAACCCAGTTTTAAAACTCAAATGATGGAGATTCAGGAAATCTGAGGACTCAAGACATTACCAGAGCTGACCTCTCACAACCCATCAATGGCCTCCCCTTAAAGAGTAGGGGGCTACCTACTCAAACGTGCTTAGTGATATTTTGGGGTTTCTCCATATTTTGGGCGTCCAACTGGAGATACCCACCTCTTACATGTTTCTTGTCTCCGACATGGGAGGATTGTGTTACCTGTGTGTGTAGATATATAGCTTATCATGTGAAACTCAGATGTGTGGTTTAACAGAGAAAGCGAGAGATTTCAATAGTTGGTACAGATTGTGCACACAACTCATCTATGCCCCGTTTCTCCCACTTGCTTGCATGTGAAATCCCTCTGTGATGCCTTATCTTCTAGCCTGTAAACACTTTGTGGTACAGAGAGTCATTTACTATATGTTTGTGCAGCACCTAGCACAATAAGGCCCTGATATGGTGGAGGACTGTAGGTGTAACTACAATACAAATGGTTAATAATAGGAGACAAGAAGGATATAGTATAGGGCAGATCATTAACTTGCCCCACCTATGAGCTGATTGGCATAGATTAATAATTGGATCTATCTATCTATCTATCTATCTATCTATCTATCTATGGAGACTGTAAAAAACACCTTGTTTGTTCCTTCTCTCCTCCTCCAGCAGCAGTGTGTGTTTGTTAACTTGGATATATGGTAACAGGAGAATAATTTTCTCCAGAAAAATATATGCCCTCCTAGATAGACAGAAATCTCTCTGCCACAACAAATACGCTATTCGGAAAGAAGGGAAAAAATCTATTTATCTAATGTTTGGTTTCTTATAATTAGTTAACCCTGCCTGGCCCGGTCTTATCTACAGACCCCATAACTTCTAGTTAGAGGACTGAACTAAATTATAGAAAAGTGCTATAGACTAATGTAAGCATATAAAGGCTCAGTTAGCTTCTATCATTAAGTGATCAAACGGTTTTTAACTCTTTCTAATTTGTCTGTTCAAATACTGCCTCCTTCTCTGTGAAGTGCTTTGCTTTTTTAAAATTTATTGTTAATTCAGTATTTATTTCCCAAGCTCCATTAAAGGTAGATACATGAAATAATTACCACTGTAAAAAATTATATTAGGTTGTGTTTTAAAATACGGCATAATCTTTTAAATAGTACAGAATGCTAGGTTTTCTTTTCTAATTAGTGGTGGTTAATGGACACAGTGGAGCAAGAGCAAGAGCAAAGCCATGATGGGTCTATAGTGCATAATGATTCCAGAAAGTGTATTACCATATATGCACGAGTGACTTAAGCACTCTGGATTTGAAAGATTTGCTTAACCTAATGCACTTTAATTCGTGCACACAAACAATTTCCCAGGCATGTTCTGGGCACTATTCTGCAACTTCAGTTAGGAGACAGAGGCCAGGAGATTCAAAAGTGATTAGTGATTTTGAGCCCCACCTTGACACACATTGTTTTCAGAGGGTGGGTGTTCAGCACGAGCCCATTTGAGCACCCAAAAATTGAGGTACCCAAAACCAAGAGTCGTCTTTCTAAATCTTGGCCAGATTTCTTTGGCTCCCAACACCCATTTTTAACACTAAGGCTCAGAGTTGCCAGGTGAAATCCTGGCTCCACTGAAATCAATGGTAAAACTGCCATTAACTTAGATGGATGGTGGATTTCACCTCGTGTTCTAAGGCAGGCCCTAGGTACATCCAACACAAGCTGGCAGCAGCTTAGTTCACAATGTGTGAGATCTGACACCATCAGAGCATTTAACAATGACAAAGAGTGTGTGGGTGAGGTTCTGTGGCCTGCAGTGCACAGGAGGTCAGACTAGATGATCATGATGGTCCCTTCTGACCTTAAAGCCTATGATGTCCCCTCTTTCCTCATTTTTTTCTCCTTCCCCACACCCCTTTCCTGTCCTGTTAATAATTTTAATGACTGTAACCATGACAGCTGCACAGCTATAGAAGTCTTTGCAGGAATTGTCTGACTTGGGAAAGAGAGAAGCCAGGAAAACAGAGTGGCTGCTGACCAGCAAACACTGTGCTGAAACACGCTTCTTGATGATGCTACCACAGTTGCCTCAGGGCAAATCTGAATGTGATTTGGGGGTCAGCGTTACTGAGAGCAATGGTTCCACACAACTTGGAAATGCAATCAACCTCTCTTCCTAGACATCTGGCAGGCATGTTCAGGTGGCTATTGCAACTGCTGAGTCCTTGCACTGGGTCACGGGGCCAGTCATGTTCTACTGAGTCATTTCATCTGCATTCCACAAAGTTATTTCACATACAGTAAACCTGCACACCTCTTCGTACATTTTCCTCACCTTTCACAATGGATCTAGTGCATCCCTCCCTTGAACTGCACCAGGAGTAAGTGTGGCCCATTGATCTCTGTCTTTAAATTGATGATGATTACAGAGGATGTATTTCCTCTGTGCTCTTGACAAAATGTCAGTTCCTTTGCTGCAGGAAGTTCAAGAGTCCCCAACAGTTTCTTCTTAGCTACAGCACAAAAGGTTCCACCAGCATCTTCTGTCGCTCTCATTATCAGTTCAGTTATTTGTTATAGTGGATTCAGTCTTAGGCTCCTGTGATGAACATTATTCCCTTTGCCTCCAGGCTAGCAGGAGATCAAATATTAATAGCGGTACTCCACATGGACTGGGGATGGTTCGTCTCTGAGAATCTGTTCGCTCTTCCTCCCTGAAACAGGGCCACAAGCTAACTAAATAATTAAGCCCCATGGCTTTCAGAGTTTGGAACAGATGTTGTTATTTAAAAGATGGGTATAAAACATTGCTGGGAAAGTGGTGATTTAAACCTATTTTTGTAGTCTGAGAGTGAGGGAAGGAAGTGGTGTCCAAGAGTAGATCACGAAGGACAGTCATGGAGGTTGATGTGCTTTTGTGTGCCTATATTTATGTATGTGTATGGGGTGAAATTCACCTCTGTGCAGAGGCAAAAGGCCTATCCATCACTTATATCCCATATAAGCCCTACATTTCTTAGGGGTGAGCAGGATGTGGATGACCGAGCATGATGGAGCGTGACCAAGGGCTTGGCAAAGACCCTGTACTGACCCTGTGCACGGGAGTGAATTTCACCCCGTTGTCACTTGCGGCCAAATTCTGCACTGATGTACTGCAACCCCACTGACATCACTCGGCTGTGTTTTCATTTAGGCAAACTGGGACTGAGCGCTGATTGTGATTCATGGTTCGGGATAGAAACCAGGACGCACTTGGTGCTCTCACATGGAATTAGGTGAAATGGGCCATTGCAGGTTGATCTGGTGGGTTCGGTCAACCCTGAAACTCAAAGCAAAGTCCAAAGGGTGCAAAATTCATGTGGACAAACTCCTAAACTGCTCATGTGAACCATTGCCCATCTTCACACAGCTCTGGGCAGCCCTACAGTCTCCATCATTGGGTGATGTCCAGGTTGCTCCCTCCTGCCCGAAATTTACAATAAAACCCAGCCTTGTTCCTTTTAGTGTCTCACCAGGCACATGAGCATCCAGGAAATGTAAATGCCCTGACTCTGACATCCAGCTGAGCTCGATGTCAGACCCGGAGATGGGGGCAAGTCCGAGAAGCCTCATGGCTGCTCTAATCTATGCAAACTGGCAAGCCATTGCACTGGCTAGTGGTTGTTGGAGCACAATCAGTTCCAGCCAGGCACCCAGAACAGGCCCTCAGGGGCAGCTTTGTCCCCATTGCATGGACATGGTGCATGGACCAGGATTTAAACGTACTCAGCACCAAACAAAATGCACTAAAAGGACCTTCCCCAACCCCACCATGACCCTCCCCATGCTGCCCACTCCACAGGCAGCCCTGAGTTAATGGAAGACCTTGCTGTGTGCCTGGAAGGCCAACAGACTTGAGCTCTGTCAGACCAAGTGGAGAAGTGAATTCCAGGGGCAATGACTTTCCCCTGAGAACACTGTGCACCAGCCCACAGACATACAGGTCTAGGCTCTTGTTCTGAAATGGACCCTTGTATCCACACAGAACCTCAACGACTTCAGGGTCGGGGCCCTAGGGATTAAGGTTTGCATTTAAGTGCAGCTTTTGTCATATCCTATTTTAAAGACTGGTGGGCTTGGCTATGTCATCCCAGACCCACGCTTGCAGGTTGCTCCTTTGGTGAGGGAGGGCTCTAGTAGGCACGGACAAGGGGAGGACCGTGTATTTTGGTTGATCTGCTGCTAATGCCTTTAGGAAGGGTGCATTCCTTCCAAATCTTACCTGCCCTATTGACTCACAAAGGGCAAGGCAGGGCCTGAGATCACTATTTCTGAATATTGTCTTGGCACCGTTAGAGCTGAAAAGAAAAGAAAAAAGCAGCCCCCGGTGCGTGTGTGAGAGTGGAGGTGGTAGGAAGAGTTGCTAGGAAACCACAGGAGCTCAACGTGCATATTACCAAATCTGGAAGATAATTCATTCGAAATAATAACAATCATATGACAGCAATTTGCACATTAAGAGCATTAATTTGGCTATCTTAGCCCGCATTTGTCTCAGTGAGGAGACTGAAAGGCGGGTGTCAGTAAAGGTGTGGATCCTCTCCCTAGCCTTTGCAGTTTCAAGATGCAATGTAGCAGAATCTAGCGGCACAGAATGAACAGGGAGGACACTTGGACTTTCCTAAAACATTGTGTGTGGGCTGCTCAGATGTCATGGTGATGAGGGTGATATATCTAGATAGACAGACAAACCCTACATTATGGCAATACCCTGGCAGTCACCTCCCTACACTGTCCATTGGGGATCAGTAATG